GCGTGTTTGACCTGGGGCATGTGGGAGCTTGTGTGTGTGTGTGTGAGGGGGGAGCCAGGGCGTGTTTGACCTGGGCCATGTGGGAGCCTGGTTTCCGGGAGCTCTGGTTCTGGGAGGACTGGCCCCTCCACCCCGACTCAGGGGCAGCAGAGGAGCTGCCAGAACGGGGCATGGGAGGGCTGCATGTGTGTGAGCCAGGGTGTATGCGCCTGGGGCGTGTGCACCTGGGGCGTGTGCACCTGGGGCATGGACTAGTCTAGCACCTAGAGCTGCACTCTTGTCCTTCTTGAGTGCTGAGTGCCAACACTATAGGGTGTGAGGGCCTGGGAGCCCCCCGTCACCTGACACCCGGCCCAGGCAGTGAGGGCCCAGGCGTCCCTCAGGTGGCTGTGGGAAGTTATATGTACAGTGACCAGCACTGACTTCCTGGGTGTCTGCTTCGCCAGGCTGGGCTCTGCTCTGTGCACAGGGTGAAGGCTAATGTAATCATGGGTTTGACTTGGTAATAATACAATAATAGCAATGTCGGTTCATTCATGGTAATGAACATCACACTATGGAACCCACACTCTGCTTTCTGGGATGTTGCATCTCAAGGAGAGGGCCGGAAGTTAACAGGGACAGGAGGACATGTATAGGGTCAGGGTATAGTGGAGATGAGCACGTGGGGGAGGGTGATTCAGACGGGCCAGTCTGCCAGGCCTCTATGAGGGGCAGTGTCTGAGCTGAGACCCTAGTGGTCTCTCTGTGCCTGCGAGCTGGAGTCCTGTTTGTTGGTGGTGGAGCTGTGGGACCTCTTCCTAGATGTGATGTCGTCTAGAAAATGAGTCTGTCCAGAGAAGGCCGATGTCTCTTCTGCCTCTGACCAGGGACACTGAGAATTCGGTCTTATATTTCTGTTATTATTCATCTACCTGTCATATTCCCAGAGGAACTGTGGGATGACATCAAGAACATCATCCATGAAGAAAGCAAAAGGTCATTAAAAAGACAGGAAAGGAAGAAAAGACCAAAATGGATGTTAGAAGAGACTCTGAAACTTGCCCTTGAACAGAGAGTAGGTAAAGCAAATGGAAGAAATGACAAGATAAAAGAGCTGAAGAGAAGATTTCAAAGAGCAGCTTAAGAAGACAGTCAATTATTATAATGAAATGTGCAGACATGGAGTGGGAAAGCTGGAAGGGAAGCACACGCTCGGCATTTCTCAAGCTCACGCTGCAAGAACTGAAGAAAGAATTTAAGCCTCGAGTTGCAATATTGAAAGATTCTGTGGGCAATATATTGACTGATGCAAGAAACATCAAAAGAAGATGGAAGGAATACACAGAGTCACTGTACCAAAAAGAACTGGTCGATCTTCATCTATTTCAGGAGGTGGCATATGAACAAGAACCAGTGGTGTTGAAGGAAGAAGTCGAAGCTGCACGGAAGGAGCTGGCAAAGAACAAGGCTCTGGGAATTGACGAACACTCACTGAGGTGTTTCAGCAAATGGATGCCCCGCTGGAGGCACTCACGCGGCTATGCCAGGAGTTTTGGAAGACAGCTACCTGGCCAACTGACTGGAAGAAATCCGTATTTGTACCCATTCCAAAGAAAGGTGATCCACAGAGTGTGAAAATTATCGAATAGTATCATTAATATTGCATGCAGGTAAAATCTTACTGAAGATAACTCAAAAATGGTTGCAGCAGTATATTGACAAAGAACTTCCAGAGGTGCAAGCTGGATTCAGAAGAGGACGTGGAACAAAGGATATTCAGATGCTCAAAGCAAAGAATACCAGAAAGATGTTTACTTGTGTTTTATTGACTATGCAAAAGCATTTGATTGTGTGTATCATAACAAATTATGGATAACGTTGAGAAGAATGAGAATTCCAGAATACTTAATTGTACTCATGAGGAACCCATACATAGACCAGGAGGCTGTGGTTTGAACAGAACAAGGGAACACTGCATGGTTTAAAATCAAGAAGTGAGTGCATCAGTGTTGTATCCTTTCACCACACTTATTCAATATGTATGCTGAGCAAATAATCTGAGAAGCTGGACTATGTGAACAGAACATGGCATCAGGATTGGAGGAAGACTCCTTAACAACTTGTGATACACTGAGGACACAACTTTGCTTGCTGAAAGTGAGGATGACTTGAAGCACTTACTGATGAAGATTAAAGACTGCAGTCTGCAGCATGGTTTATACCTCAACATAAAGAAAACAAAAATCTTCACAACTGAACCAATACGCAGCATCATGATAAATGGAGAAAAGATTGAAGTTGTCAAAGATTTCATATTACTTAGTTGTACAATCAACACCAATGGAAGTAGCAGTCAAGGTATCAGATGTCATATAGCATTGGGCAAATTTGCTACAAAAGACCTCTTTCAAGCGCTGAAGAACAGAGATACTCCTTGAAGACTAAGGTGTGCCTGGCAGAAGCCATGGTATTTTCAGTCGCCTCATATGCATGTAAGAGCTGGACAATGAATGAGGAAGACCAAAGAACAGGCGATTCTTTTGAGTTGTGCTGGTGAGGAATGCTGAAAGTACCATGGCATGTCAAAAAAACTAACAGACCTGTCCTGGAGGAAGTGCAGTGAGAATGCTCCTTAAAAGTGAGAATGGCCAGACTTCATCTCACCCACTTTGGTCATGTTGTAAGAAGGGATTATTCCCTGGAGAAGGATGTCATGCTTGACAAAGTGGAGAGTCAACAAAAAAGGGGAAGGCCCTCAACAAGATGGATTGACACAGTGGCTGCAGTGACAGGCTCAGGTATAGCAAGGATTGTGGGGCTGGCACAGGACTGGGCCATGTTTCATTCTGCTGTGCACAGGGTTGCTATGAGTCAGAGACGACCCCACAGCACCTAACAACAAAAGCATCATATTTGTTGGAAATGACTTGACGGCAGTGATATATCATGTTTGTCACCTGTCCATGCATCCGCCGTCTGTCTGTCACCTGTCCATCCATGCATCCGTCATCTGTCTGTCTATCTATCACCCATCCCTCCATCATCTGTCTGTCTGTCTATCACCCATCCATCCATCATCTATCTGTCACCCGCCATCCATCCTTCATCTATCTCTATGTCTGTCTATCACCTGCCCATCCATCAGTCTGTCATCTATCATCAGCCTGTCACCCATCTCTTTATCATCTGTCATCCATTTATCTGTGTATCTGTAATCTGTCAATCTGTTACCTGTCTATTGGTTTACCTACCTGTCATCTGCCATATTTATCATCTATATACTTAGCTGTCATCTGTATCTGTCTGTCTGTCTACCTACCAGTCTGCATCCTCCCATCCCCCAGTTTCTTTCCAGTGGCAAGTTGTGGATTTAGCATTCTGTTACATTCTCCAGTTCCTCATTCAGTTACCTTTTTCAATCGTGGGGACACTTGTACCTCACCTGGGGGCCCCCGTGCGTGGATCCGTGTGCCCTAGTCGCTCCCGGAGCCCCGTGGGGGTGGGGCAGCAGGGGGTGGGGCGCTGTTCCCCTACCGCTGCTGACCTGCTTTCTTTGCTTTGCAGGCTCAGCTGGCGCAGGCCCTGGAGGATCTGGGGAGCCAGAAACAGAGAGCAGACACGGTGAGTCCCTGGGCCTCTGTGGACAGACGGGGCTGTGGGTTAGGCCCTTTAGGCTGCACCCTGCAGAGACTCTGTCCCCTCGTGACGTGTCCTACATCACAGGGCCTGGCCTTGTGGTCAGAAGCAGGGACCCAGATCCTCCTGTGGGAAAAAGGGACCTGGATCTACCCGTGGGATACAGGGTCCCGGCTCCACTGTGGGAAATGGGGTCTTGTCCTCCTGAGAACAGGAATCAGAAGTGCGGGCGGTGCTGGGTTCTGCCTGGCACTGGGGTCTCCCCGAGGGCCCATAGCCGGTGGTTCACTGGACTTTGAGGGTGTAGTGTTTCCAGGCAAGTCATGGTGGGAGAGGGGTGATGTGACGTTCCGCTACGTGCAGAAGCAAGCCACGTGGCAGTGGCACAGGCGACCCCATGCATGCGTTCTGTGTGTCTTTATGAACATGGTGTCTGCAGTCAGATGCTCTGGGATTCCAAGGGACATGCACAGTGTGAGAGGTTTGAGGGACATGACGTAGCATGCTAAGACCTGGTATGACTCAAAACACACATGGCAGGAGGATGCTGTGTGGCTCCAGGGAACATGCACGGTGTGAGGTGTTTGTAGGTACATGATGTAACATGGTGGGACATGGTGTGACTCGAGAAGACACACATGGTGGGAGGATGCTGTGTGACTCTAGGGGACACACATGGTGTGAGGTGTTTGCAGGGACATGACGTAGCATGGAGGGATGTGGTGTGACTCGAGAAGACGCACATGGCAGGAGGAAGCTGTGGGACTCCAGGGACACACATGGCTCAGGAGGCCGTGGTGTGACTCGAGGAGAGGGCATGGGAACATAGTACATCTGCACCCATTTCCAGGGCCGTGGTCATGGGTGTCCCCTGCCAGCCCTCCGGTTGCCCTGCTCTAGCTCAGACACAGGCCAGGCAGGGGCACAGGGCTGGGGCTCTGTGTTCGAGTCATATGGGGTCCCAGGGACCTGTGTCTCTGAGGCATCCTGACACTCTCCACCTGAAAAAGATGGAAGTGATCCACTGACAGCACAGGGGGTCGTGCAGGAACATGCATGGTTTCCTCAGGGCCTGGCACACACACTCACTGTCACATCCGTGCCTGAGCCATGGCCACGGAAGTACTGTGATGTCTTGCTGATGTCTGTGGGCTGCAGCCTTGGGGCTTGGGACCAGGAAGAGCCTTTGGTTTGGGCCTTGCCGTAGGCCATGGGGTCCTCCATTGGGGGGAGCAGAGCCTCCACTCACTGCCTGTCTCTCAGGATCACACAGGAAGGCAGTGACTGCCTGTGTTGTTGCAGACCCTGACCCAGACCCCTCTCTGTTCTATAGTGGGGGTGCGCTTGACAGAGCAATGGCATGCGCCCCCCCATGGCTCTGTGCCCACTGCCCTGCCCAGCCATGTCTACCTGGTGGCCAAGCCCGGGGCTCTGCTCCCTGAAAAGCTGAGGTGTGGGACAGCTCTGACCATCCCTGTCCACCAGTCCTCTGCCCACAATGTGGGGTCCCCGCTCTGGTACCCATGTTGTCTCTCTCAGCCTACAGCTTCCAACCGAGGATTTTCAGACTAAGAGTCTGTCACTATTGAGGAAAAAGAAAAAGAAAAGTTTAAACACCATTAGGTGATTGCACATGACAAGACAGTCGTTGGACTCTCTGTCGTCAGTTAGAAAAGCCACGCTGACTGGTTAGCTGGATCACAGTTCACACTTCTCAGTCAGTGCCACAGGGAGGGACATCCTCGTGATGTCACCATCCCCAGGGCCCCCACTGGCTGTGGCCCCAGGTCCCCAGGAACAAGCATCCTGATTAGAACTGAGGGAGAGCTGGGTGTTGGTCTCACACTTGAGAGAAACAGTCCAGTGACCCTGTGCATCATTCCACCATCATCTTCCTCCTACTTCCCCCAAAGATTCCTTGTCCTGCTTATTCTCCTCCTGCCCAGGGAGCCCAGACCCCTGCCAGAGCTGTGGGGGTGCAGTTGTTGTGGGTGCTGTTGATTCTGACTCCTAGGGAGCCATGCCAAGAGGAGACCTGCCCCTGAGGTTTTCCAAGGCCGGGCCGGGTCTTTCTGACGTGTTGCTAATGTCTGGGCTGTAGTCTTTACAGGAGAGGCTGGTGTCCCCCTAACTTATCCCACCCCATCTCCATCCCCTTACTAGCATGTGACTGTGTGTGGGATTGTCATGGCCTCGACTTCCCAGATGAGGCCCCCGGACTGTGGTGAATGAGCAGCCCAGAGCAAGGCCATCACTAGAGAGGACAGTGCCAGCCCTCACCAGGGCCGCTGATACCCAGCCCTACACAGCCTCAGACCCCCACTTCCCTGAGGTGGACGGTCCTGGTTCTTCTGCCTGTCCTCAGCTGCCTGCTGATCTCTGTGAAGTTTGGCTCCCAGGATAGTGAGGGCTGGGGGCAGCTCTCTGGACTGGGGGATGCTGGTATAGTGAGGGCTGGGGGCAGCTCTGTGGACTAGGGGATGCTGGTAGAATGGGTCAGTGAGGCACCTTGTGAATTCAGCGCCCAGGTGTGCCTGAGAACTACAGGGCTGGGTGGGCCACTGGATGCCCCAGAGGGAACACAAGATGCCCAGCCAAGGGCCCCCAGGGCTGGAGGGATGCTGGGTGGTTGGGGTGCATGAAGCAAGGTGGTAGGTTAAGATGAGTTGATTTCCAGCTGCTGCCCTTCGAGGGGATAGGGGCTGAGGTACATCACCCAGCTGGGTCCCGGAGGTGTACATGGCATGTTCCTGGCTGCCCCCACTGCCCCAGCATGCCTGTCTCCTAGAGCCTCAGTGTGGACGTGTCTGCATGGAACCAGTGCTGTGTCCAGAGTGATTTTGGGGTACAGACTCAGAGCATAGCTGTGTATGACTGTCCCCAGCATCCAGCCCTGGATGCAGCCTTCCTCCTGGGCCCCATCCAGTGGTTTCACAGGGCCATACTTCCCCACCTCCCAGGCCAGGGAATGCTCCCCCCTCCTCCCTATGAGGAGAAGGAATAGTGAGGATGAGGGGTGGGCCAGGAGCCCATGCCAGCCAGTCGATAACAGGCTGGAGGTTACGGGAGCAGAAGGTCGATGCCCTCTGTGGCTCCATGGCTGAGGCCCAGTGCCCCTCCTGGGTAGGAGTTCTGGCGTGGCAGTGGCCACCCTCCAGGTCCACAACCCTGGCTCACGGCCGCACCTCAGGATGCTTTCAGATGCTTGAATGAATGACTGGAGTGGACTGAGGAGGGAATTGTCCCACCCTCCCTGCTCCCCTTCCCTGGTCCAGCCCCCAGCCTTCTCTGCTTGTCCATTTGGCAGAGGCCTCAAGACAAGATGCTGGTGGCTGGATCTATCTGCACTTTGAAAACATCACCTGAGAAAATGGCTTCTTAACCCAGAAAATACGTTTCTGACAGTGTCATTTCTAGCCTGGGGTACAGAAGATACACAGACCCCTCTCGTCCCCCAAAAAAGAGAAGAAACATTTCACGCAGAGAGACTGTTGGTGTTTGTCCACATCTGAGCTTTCACAGCACAGCACGTGTGTTCATGGAGCCTCACAGTACGCCTGACATCCGAGACGGTGTGACCTGCCTGTGATGAGCGAGTTTGGAATCTTCCCCAGGAGTTGGAGTTGATTTGGGGACAACTGCTTTTTTGTTGTTTTATATTTTACAATTTTCTTAAATCTCCTCAGGTTCTTTGTTGCAGATAAGTGTTAGAACTGGTTGTCGAGTTTCCTACAGAAATCCTACTGGGATTGCCTTGTGTTTACAGACTGGTGTGGGAAGTGTAAAACCACCCATCAGAGTCACAGGCTGTGCCCCGTGGCCTCAGCTTTTTGCTCCACAGCCTGGAGTTGGGCCATCTTCTTCTAGCAGGTCTCACACATGCCTTGATGGATTGACTGCAGCGGTTTATGTACATTGTACAGGTGACTCCCAGGGCCCTCTTTGGGGTCAGGGAGGGTGACGAAGGGAAGGTAGGCACATGAGACTTGGAAAGTGAACCCCCCCAGAAAAAACTTACATAAGAGTTAGACTGTAATAGCTACTGCAGGCCAGTGAACTGCTCACTGTGGCCCTTGTAGCTGTCGTTCTCCATTTTGTGATATACTGTAAATTCCAGTCTCTATGCCTTTCTGATATATTACTGGAAAACTTGATGCAAAGCCCTGAAACATTGTCCGATACAGTGCTGGAAGATGAGCCCCTTGGGTCAGAAGCCACTCAAAATACGACTGGGAAAGAGCTGCCGCCTCAGAATAGAATCAACCTTAATGACGTGGATGGAGTAAACCTTTTGGGACCTCCGTTTGCCAATGTGGCACATCTCAAGATGAGAAGAAACAGCTGAAAAATGCATTAATAATTGGAACATGGAATATATGAGGCATGAATCTAGGAAAATTGGAAGTTGTCAGAAATGAAATGGAACACATAAGGATCAATATCCTAGGCATTAGTGAGCTGAAACAGACTGGTTTTGGCCATCTTGAATCAGGCAACCATATGATCTACTATGTTGGGAATGACAAATTGAAGATGAATGGTGTGGCATTCATTGTCACAAAGAATGTTTCAAGATCTATCCTGAAGTGCAATGCTGTCAGTGATAAGATAATATCCATACATCTACAAGGAAAGCCAATTACTACTATTATTATTCAAATTTATGCACCAACCACCAAAGCCAAAGATGAGGAAATTAAAGATTTTTACCAACTTCTGGACTCTGAATCGACCCAAACATGCAATCAAGATGTGTTGATTGTTACTAGTGACTGGAATGTGAAACAAAAAAGAATCACCAGTAGTTGGAAAATATGGCCTTGATGGTAGAAATAATGCTGGAGATTGCATGGTAGAATTTTGCAAGACCAATGACTTATTCATTGCAAATACCTTTTTTCAACAACATAAGCGGTGCCTAGATACATGGACTTTGCCAGATAGAATACACAGGAATCAGATTGACTACATCTGTGGAGAGAGGC